ATCATATTAGGATATCAAGCTTGTAGAGCTTGTTGATGGTGTCTGGGTGAAGTAGAATGAGTCTGCCTTTGTCATTAAGACTGGGAGCACTACTCAGTAGCAGGCTGACTTAGCTCTAAAAGAAATGGCCGCCCCTGACATGAGAAACAGATGCCATGTGAAGCCACTCCTAACATGGAGTACAGACTCATCCTGTATCCCTGGATCAGGAGTCCTTACAGGGTACTATCAGCCGGGCCAGCTGAACCCAGGTTTTTTACCGAGCTTGTTACTGCTCCCCCTCCTTTCTCATCCAGGCTTGGGACCGGCAAAGGCAGAGTTGGATTGTGTAGTACTTCGGTGGAACACATCTTTCTTGAATCTTCTAATATTGCCTTTAAATAAAATGTTTTGGTAATAACTTGTTACCCCATGTTTGGACTTTATAATTATTATATCATAATAAAGAGGCTCCTCATTTAGACAACTACAACAAGTTGCTCTTATAAACTAGGGTGTTATAACGAGGTTCCGTTTTGTGTACCCCATTAGAGAAAACCAATCTGACTCTTCTCAAAATTTCAATTCCTTTAAAGGAAAAACTGGTTAATGTCCTATAGAATGGTGTGGAAGATGGGGAAAAGGTAAAGAGAATTGCATTGTGAGGGTGAAGCAAGAACCTTCCATGATTGTTGCTCCATATTGGAGATGCTACTACACTAATAACATACTCCATGAGAGGACACAGAGGAAAGGTTTTATCTCCAAAATTACCAAGTTTTACCAATTAGTTGTTTTCCAATATAAGAGGACATCTCTCCCTAAAGGACACTTTGTCTCTGCAACTAAGTGTTGTCCTTTACAAAGAGGTTGTTCTACCCCTCAAACAATGATGTAACAACTCCCTCTGATGGCAGCCTATATTTGCTAAAATGAAATATGAACTCTCTCTTTTTTTTTTTTTTAAAGAGTAACATGTCAAGATCATGCAACTCACTTCCAAAGTTATCTCTATATAAGATGGTTTTTTACCCTTAAACAATAATCTTCATTTTTGCATACACTACCTTAAAAAAACAGAACAATGGACAAAATAATTATGCAGGAAAACCCCATTAGAAATAAACGAAACCTTCTATTATCCTGACTGCAGTCAAAAATATTGAGGACCATGCTCATCAGTGATGAAAGCAGTTTACTAATGTATTCTATTAGACTACTTTTTAGAACTCTAATAATGAATTGGATGATTCTTCTTATATATGCTATACTGAAGGGTGGAATCTTTGTTTTGATATTTTAGGCAAACTCTGGTCATAAGCTTTTAGAACAGTAGAATTACATAAGAAAGTTTGTTTTATTTGTAAAATAATCATTCATGCTTAATTCATGTTTAATGTTTGTATTTCTTATATATACAGTAGAACCTCCATGAGAGGACACCTCTCCTTAAAGGGACCTAAAGGACACTTTGATTCTGCAACTAGGTGTCCTTTACAAGGAGGTTCTACTGTAGATGGCACGCACTATTGCCTTGTAATTAAAGTGGTCCAGAGAACAAAGTTCCAGAATATTTACCAAAGATAGCCAGAGAGAGAGAGAGAAAGGCCTTTGGTGAAAGATTTGTGAAAGACAAGGTTCCACTGTAATTTGTTAAACAATTTTTAAAACTCTTAAAAATTTCATTTAATCCTTTAGCTACTAGACATGCCAGTGCACATTGTTAGCCAGTCCTAAATGTAGAATGTTTAGATGATGCTCACAAATGTTTTATAGGCTCTTGAGGAAAAGTTTACAATCACAGTAACAGGTGTGTGTAGTCGGCAGTGAAAGGCTTAAAGTTAGTTCTATTAGTCTTCTTCTTTCTTATCTCCACTCAATCATATTAGGGTATAAAGCTTGAGACTTTTGAAAAAGATATTTAACAACCATCATGACTGGGTGAAATAGAATGCGTCTGCCTTTGTCATTAAGACTGGGAGCACTACTCAGTGGCAGGCCGACTTAGCTCCAAAAGAAATGGCCGCCTCTGACATGAGGAACAGATGCCATGTGCAGCCGCTCCTAACATGGAGTACAAACGCTGCTCATCCTGTATCCCTGGATTAGGAGCCCTTACAAGGTACTATCAGCCGGGCCAGCTGAGCCCAGGTTTTTTAGTGAGCTTGTTACTGCTCCCCCTCCTCCTTTTTCATCTGGGCTTGGGACTGGCAAAGGCGGGGTTCTATTAGTTAATTGGGACTATGGTTTTGGCCTTTCTGACTAGTCCCAACTATAAAGGAAATTGAAGTAGACTACCTTCTTGTAACTACCAAGATTAGATGAACAGGGCCATGATAGAGTCCCGAGTTGACTGCCAGGTTAGACCAGCTATTGTTGGATATATAACAGAAATAATGAACCAAGAACATAGATCACCCTCCCCCCCTCAATGTTGTTAAAGAACCTAGTGGTGTCAATGACAGCTGTGCTATTTCCAGCCAGATTCAACAGCTGCTGTTTGTCCTATTTACCCCCTCTATCAGTGAGTCAACTGCACTCACTGCTCTCCAATCTTTCACACTCTCCTCGAGAGGGTTTTATTATCTTAGATATAACTACAGTGTAAGATGATAAGGCAAAATTTGGATTATAGATTATAAACAAAAGGTAATAAGACCAAATCCAAATAAATAAATAGTGTGTGACGTTTCGGTAACAGCGTTGTTACCATCTTCAGACAAAAGTACTGAATGTTTGGATTATAGGTTATAAACACAAGGTAATAAGATCAAATCCAAATAAATAAATAGTGTGTAACGTTTCTGTAACAACGCTGTTACTGAAACGTCACACACTTTATTTATTTGGATTTGGTCTTATTACCTTGTGTTTACAGTGTAAGATCTTACTAACTAACCTAGGGGTTTGATGGAGGTACAATATAAACTATTCTTCTTCTTTCATATCTCCACTCAATCATATTAGGGTGTCAAGCTTGTAAAGCTTGAGACTTTTGAATGTATGGGGATGAGTAGAGCACATCAATGGATGAGGTGAATAGAATGCATCTACCTTTGTCATTAAGACTGTGAGTACTACTCAGTGACAGATCAACTTAGCTCCAAAAGAAATGGTCTGACATAAGGAACAGACACCATATAATAACATGGAGTACAAACACTGCTCTGTATAACTGTTGAGTTTCTACAGCCACCACTCACCATTGAAACCCACATTGGGCCAATTTTCCTAAAAAAATTACTTTAAATATTATCCCCCAATTTTTTTTTTTTTTCAAAAGTTCAACCCCACCAATGAGTGCTAGTAACCAAACCAGGAGATCAGACATATTAGTAAATGTAAAAGTCAAACTGCTTTTTACCTGTGTAGACTTGTGGTAATTAACTTAAGAGTAAAGGCAGTTGCTTACTTTACTCCCCATGAATATCATGGGGTACTTGTGATTAGTACTGCCACCATTAAGTAACCTAACCTTACCAAACATCATCATTGCTTGTAAACGCTACACCTAGGTTCCAGTCTTTGAAACCTCCTGACTTCTTTTTTTTTTTTTTCAAAGAATATTCTCAACTTATCATCATCATTCACTGTTGTTTGTAATTAAACACCAGTTAGTTAAATATCAATTTGAACTTTTTGACAAAAACTATTATTTTATATATGGCAAAATTGTATTCTGTTTATTCCATTATTGCGCTTGTTGATGAAATGGCAAGAAATGAGGCAAAACTACTCTGAATTCATGATCTATATTAAAAAAAAAAAAAAAAACTAGATGATACTGAAAACAGATTTCGGCATTCCTTTATTTGGATGAGAAAAAATATTTTGGGAGAGGGCCTTACTCATCAATATAAGCCCTCCCAGTTCTTCAGTGAACCTCAGATTGGCTAACTCTAGTGTAGTAGACCTCTATACAAAAAGATGACCTGTGGGGGTCGGTGGAAGGATGGTCCAAACCGTTGGTTTTCGACCGCTACGACCCGGGTTTGATTCCCACATAAAGCACTTATGTTTAAAAAAAAAAATGCTTCAATGGCCCCTGATTCTTGCAAGTCTAACCCCACCAACGAGTGCAAGTAACCAAACTGTGCTCTGGCACATTTGTAAGTGCAAAGTCGAACTGCTTTTCACATGTGTAGACATGTGGTGTACTTACAGTAAAAGCTGTCTTCTACCCACCATGATTATCATGGCCTGTACCACATGTACTAGGGATAAACCAAAAAAAAAAAAAAGATGACCTTTTTATCAATTAGCTGTTCTTCTCTGTAAGAAGATACCTTCCTCTAAAGGATACTTTAGCTCAGGAATTGATGCTTTCCTTTAGAGAGAGAGGTTCTACTCTATTCATGTTGTGACAGGATTGTTCAATAAAATAAAGTTAGAAGAGGAGATGGAGCTAAAATGACGTTCTATGGAATCTCACCCAAGTTTAACACTTTTTATTCCTGACTACAATAACAACTCCTCAATAAATGTGGCAGTGAGTCACTGGGTTGTTGTATTCTGCCTACAAGTAGAAAATTCCTAACCAGAGAGCCAAAAAACTATGGTAAAACCTGTCATGGGAGTTTCCATTTGGTTCTAAAGCAAAAATCCACTTGCAAGACATCCCTACTTTAGACAGCTTGAATAAAATTGGTTAACTATAAACCTTTCTATTTCTTATGCCAATTCACAATGATGCTCATATAATGGTCAAACAAATAACCTTTTGGGGAGGGATCTTAAAAAGCATAGACATGCATTTGATAGGGTCAGATGCCTTTGAAAACTTTTTTTTTTGCATATCCCTAGTACATGTGGTACAGGCCATGATAATCATGGTGGGTAGAAGTAGGTAACTGCTTTTACTGTAAGTGCACCACATGTCTACACATGTAAAAAGCAGTTCCGCTTTGCACTTACAAATGTGCCAGAGCCCCGTTTTGGTTATTTGCACTCGCTGGTGGGGTTGGACTTTTGCAAGAATCGGGGACCATTGGAGCATTTTTGTTTTTTAAATCAGAAAAAAGTGCCCAATGCGGAAATCGAACCCGGGTCATAGTGGTTGAAAACCAATTGTTTAGACCATTCTTCCACCAACCCCCCAAAGCATGGTTTCCACCCTAAAAATGAACTTTCAGATAGAAAGACTCCCACTGATTTCTAGAATAGTTTTTTTAAATTTGTATTTAGAGTTCTCTTCCAATGTGTCTTTCATCTTTTTGTCTCTCTCTTTCTCTCCTCTCTTTCTACAGTGTTCTTCTATCAGGTGCCATTCCAGCATGCATCTCTCCTCTTCCTCCCAATGTTTCCGGATACAGGCTTCCTCCGGGTATAATCTCAGGTATGTTGTTGTGTTCTAGGCACCAGCTCCTTCTTCTTAACTTCCGTTGTTCCTTCTCTTTGCCAGAGTTCTTACAATTTTCAAACCCTTCTTCTTTCATCTCTCTCTTGTTTTGTCTGAGACTAATGGCACAAAAAAACTCGTCTTCTTTTCAACTTTTCTACAGAGGAACCTTGTTATAACAGCCTCTTTTTAGCAACTTGGCTCATAACAAGACCAAATGTTTAGACATACCATTAATTCATTAATCTTGTTACCTTTAGGGAAAGTTTTAGAACAGATGTGTAAATAAATCCCATTTCAAACAAAGGCTTACGTGCACATGGGGAAAGGGAGAAAAAAAATTACTGTATTATTTTGTTGTTGTATGCTGAATCCATACAGGGCCTTAATAAAAGCCTTTTTGTTGTTGTTACCTTTAGGTTTATAACCTATAATCAAGTTTTTAACTTCATCTCAGCAACTTGGTTAAAACCTTGTAATTCAATGGTTTTATGACACAATATGATAGTTATAACAACAACAAAAGAAAAAAAGTTTGGTCCTAGGTGACATTGTTATAATAAGGTTCTCTCTTCCAGATTGTCTTCTTATTTTCTTCCTCTTCCTTTCTGTGCAGTAATATACTATTTCCAATATTAACGTGGGCTTTCTCTCTAAAACTTGACTAATTGGTTTTAAATCTATCTACATCTATATGGTTATTTACACCTCTTATCACTTGTGTACACCTCTCCCCACTTAATTAAAAAAAAAAAAGAGGGAAGAACTGTTCTATAGGGAGACTAGATTGAAAGTAAACATCTTCTCCACTCAGAATGAATTGCACTTATACCGGAAACCTTTAGGTGGAAGAAAGATAGCCACAAGATATAGCAGCTCGTTTTAGATTCAACCCACAAAAGAAGAGTAACCAGAATCTATCAATTTTATTATATTGTCACGAAATTGGTTTTATGTAAAGCAAATGTCTCTATTATTAAAATGTTTATGTTTAATGTTATATAAGGAAGGTGTTCCAGCCTTAAATATGCAAATTGTTAGAATTTACTTTTGTTAATTATTGTTAAATTATGTAAATTTTAGAAATGTATATAATCTTGATTTTAGAAAATAAAGACAGTTATTGAGTTATAAAAGTATACGTGGTTGAGTCATTAGTGTTGGTGAGACGAGGTTGAGTCATTAGAGTTATTAAGTAAACGTGGTTGAGTCATTAGAGTTGGTGAGACAAGAGTTATAAAAGGTATACGTGGTTGAGTCATTAGAGTTAGTAAGACGAGACAATAGCAGTTATTCAAGTTTAAATGAGTTATAGTTAGCTCGCTGAGTTAAGAAGCTTATAATTAAAACCAGCGTTAAAATAAGAACTTGGCAGTGATTCCTCCTTAGTGCCAGGAGGCCAAAGCTAATTCGATACATGGTCCCTCGAGAGCCTGATTAGGATTTGAAACAGAAGAAATTTAGCAAAAACTCAGCGAGAATACAATGCAAATGTCTCGAGACGAAAGGATCCTCCAAAGAAAGTTAAGTTGTCAGATAAGGAGAATTGATGGATTTATTGAAAGTGTGGATTCAATTATTGAGGCAGGTGAAAGAATACGCTTAGAAATAATGGGTGAAGAATTAAAGGAGATCAAAGAGAAAATTGAGAAACTCTACGACGAGCTGTTTTCTTTGGATGAAGTTGATATAGATAAAGAAAGTGAGGCATATGATGGTTCAATGAACAAGATTGGAAGCTTGAGGGTAAAAATAGAAAATGAGAGAAAACTCAAAGACAAACTGGCGGACATAAAGCCAAATGGCTCTCAGGCAAATATAAAATTGCCTCAATTTGACTTACCGATATATGATGGAGATATAGGCAATTGGATCAACTTCAAAGAGCTATTCCTCACCACCATCGATGCACATCCAGGGTTAACTAATATACAGAAGTTACAATATTTGAATTCAGCAGTAAAAGGCGAAGCGGCCAGATTAATAAGGGGTTTCCCTTTACTAAGTGAAAATTATGGCCAAGCATGGAATACACTGTTATCAAGATATGATAACCCGAGAGAGCTAGCTTATGCCCAGGTGTCAAAAATCTTTTCTCTCCGGGCAATTAAGAATCCATCGGCTAAGTGTCTCCATGAATTCATGGATGTTTGTAATGAAGCCATAAGAAACTTAGAAACGCTGGAATTGAAGAGAAATCAATTAGTGGATGTGATCCTGGTGCACTTCCTCCAGCAGAAGTTGAGTGAAAATCTAAGGTTGGATTGGGAACTGTCAGTGGACAACACTCTTCCTTCTTATGACAAGTTCATAGCGTTCATTTCCAGACATGCAAGAAGCATGTCTTGTGCTGTCAGGGAATGTTCAAAAAGGGAAGAAACCACCGGATCGAGATTTCCCAAATGCCAAAGCTACGGGATGCTAATTGAGAAATCGGACACTTGCATATTATGCAAATCTAAGCATCATCCACTATACATGTGCAACTTATTTTGCAAAATGCCTTTAAAAGAAAAATTAAATGTAGTAAAAGGTCATAAATTGTGCTTCAATTGCTTGAGGAAAGGCCATTTCTCATGGAATTGTAGGTTGAACCAACGATGCAAAGTATGCAAGGGAAAGCACCACACGATGATTCATTATGATAAACCGAGCACGGAAGGCGCTTCGGCCCAAGTTGAGAACACAACTCCGAAGGAACATGAAAGTGCTATCAATTTAACGAATACTCAACAGGCAAACTGCAATGATAGCCACGTACTACTCGCAACGGCTAGAATCAAGATAAAAAATGGACTCGGAAAGTTATGCACCTGCAGAGCCCTACTGGACAGCGGTTCCCAAGTCACCATGATAACAAAAGGATGCTGCGAAAGATTGGGACTTGTCCAAAGGAAATCAGATCGGATGATTATAGGGGTTGGAAACACACCAGTGCAGCATTCTTCATCGACAGTAAGTGTGACATTTTGTCCACTGAATAATTCTGAGGAATTCTCGGTGGAGGCAGTAGTCACGGGAGTGCTCACTTCAGAAATTCCGAACTTCAGGTTAAAAGACCCTAATTGGCCAACTTTGAAGAGCCTCAAATTGGCAGACCCAGAGTTCTACATACAAGCCCCAATAGATATGATATTGGGAGCAGATATATACACTGAACTTATGTTGAATGGCTCTATATCTCTCGGAGAAGGATTGCCAATGGCTATTAATACAAGACTAGGTTGGGTACTTCTAGGAAAACTCATGGGAACATCGGAGAGTAATACAGAAGTCTGTAACCTGAGTTTACAATCTGAACCAGAACTAGAATTCGTAATGAAAAGATTCTGGGAAATTGAATCTGTGCCGTCACCAGATCTTTGTACACAGGACGAAGATGGTGAAAGGTTATTTTCGAATAACCATGGCAGAGATAGCCATGGAAGGTATTGGGTAAAATTGCCATTCAGACAACATCGACCGCTTCTGGGTGAATCAAGAGAAAAAGCTTTAAGAAGGTTCCTTTCGTTGGAAGGAAAATTGTGTAAGAATGTGAAATTATATGACCAATACCGGGGATTCATGAAGGAATATGAACACTTAAACCACATGGAAAGAGTCCCAATTGCAGAAGTGAAGCGAGAATTGTGCAGGTGCTATTACATGCCTCATCATCCAGAAGATGCGGACTATCAGAGGATATTGTGGAGACCATCGCCAGAAGAGCCTGTGGTGGACTATCAACTGCTGACTGTTACCTATGGTACAACTTCGGCTCCATTTTTGGCAATGAGAACATTACAACAGTTAGCAGAAGATGAAGGCCAAAATTATCCTGAAGCTTCTAGGGTGACCTTGAATGATTTCTATGTCGATGATCTGCTAACAGGAGCTCAAACGATTGCTGAAACCAAAGAACTAATAGACCAATTAAAGGACTTAATGAAAAAGGGAGGGTTTCACTTAAGAAAGTGGAATTCAAATTGCCACGAGATAGTGTCTCATGTCGAGGAAATAAACGAAGAGAGGAAAATTAACTTGGAGAAAGGAGCCATATCCAAGATTTTAGCAATTGTATGGGATCATCTACAAGATACGTTTAGAGTTAATATAACTCTTCCTGAGGAAGTTGTTACCAAAAGAGATCTTCTCTCCAATATTGCGAGGATTTTCGATCCACTTGGTTTCCTCTCACCTACTACAGTGGCAATGGCGAATCTCCAGAGGCAGACCGCGGTCAAACAAGTCGAGGATTTAGAAGGGCTACCAGTCTACCACCGCGCCATATTGAAGGAAAATGGAGAGTGGCCAGAAGTTACCAAAGCCATCCAATGTAGCTACCCGAAGGTCTTTGTCGGCGACGGAACTTATCTTTACCTCCTCATAGAAGATGTGGAATCTCTAGATGGCCCGAATGTCCGCTCGGTATTGTACCAATACCACATCCCTCACAAAAAATGGATCTGGAGAAAAGTGAATGGTTTCGCTCCAATAGTTATTTCCAAGTCTATCGTTTATGCCTCTCATGATAAAAGGGTGTACTTTGTAGGAGGGAGAATACACTCTAGAGGGAATAAGGTAACTTGCACCGACAATATTGTCCGAGTGAAACTTAAAGAGGGTCGAGCTTCTGTTCTAGTGAAAAGCAGGAAGTCGCCCCTAACTGACCTCTTGGTCCTGGCAATGACATTTGCACCATCGGCGTTCTTGTTTATGCTTGCAGAGACCCGCGACCACTCTACTTACAAGGTTTTCTCCTATCATCTCCTAAACAAAGATTGG